ACTGTGCACCGTGGCCGGCGAGAACGGAGGCCAGCCGCTTGTCGCCGCCCTCTGCAATTCCAACAGCTTCTTCAACTACATGTTCCTACACCTTCCCGGAGCGACGACCCCAACCGGCCTAACTTGCACGGACATCTCCGTCGCGGCCTCTTGCCCAGCAACTTGAATGGGCTGGCGGACAAGGGGCGGTATCTAGTTTTGCACCCCAGAAATCATACATAATGAACATGCATGCTGCCCCTAGGTGTATATTACAGGGTCCACCATAAATCATAAAATACGCCCGGGCTCTGTCGAGGAGGGTTGCATGCCCACTCACTATAATCGTTGGAATTGCCTTGGATAGTTCTCCCGTGACAGTGCCCTGCCCTGGCGTAATCACATCCCAAATGGGTTTTGTGAAGCCGTTTTGTCAACGTCGCTGGACGAATACAATACGTACTCCGTCATTTGCGGCTTTTTTGTACCTCGGCATGACCTCTCGATCTATTCTGCACCCGTTTTCCAAGTGTTTCATAGGTCAGGGTGCCTTTACATTGACAGGCGATGTTTGCAGTTTGCCTTAATGAAGCTGCAACTGGTGGAGAAGGCCCCATCCGCAAGACGTCCCGACTTTTGTAGTGCCTAGCTCTTTCGCACATCTCGTACATTGATGGACTCTCTATCGCCATCGCCACCACAAACCCCCTCCCGACGGAGTCATTTTTTCTTATCATACATTATCATGGGTGTTTTGCTGTCCGCAGCGATCCGTAACCTGGCCACAAGGCTCAGAGCCTTTTCCCCTCCCCCCGGCCAACCAATCCCTGTGGCTAGCGCAACACTGTTGCTGATGGACATTCAAGAATATGTACTGCTTGACATGGCCGAGGCGGATAGTCTCTCCTACTTCGAACAACTGTACGAAAATGTCGAAGCGGCTCGTGCAGCCGGCATACTGAACATCTGATCTACAACGTCCTATAACCGGCACCATCGGGAAATACCCAGCCGCCATCTCTCCATACAGCATGTCTTCGGCTATTTTTTCTTTGGCTGCAACAAGGGCGGCGAGTGCGCCAAGAAGCTGTCGGAGCTGGGCACCTAACAGCGGACACGGTGCTCTCAACCGTCTGTAAGGCGAATGACCTCTACTCCGTCATCACCGTGCTGGTGAACACGTCCTACGTTCCTGATACGAACTACATATCAGATACCTATGCAAAGGGTATTTCCGTGGCATGCTAGGGCCATCTATAGCGTGTAGTGGCTCTGGAAACATCACCCAGGAGGGATTGTGCAGCTAGATTCCGCTTAGAGATGCTTTCGCGGAGCAGGAGCAGTGAAAATCCTGGTCTACTGAGTATCTAGATATGAAAATGCATCTTTGCAGCGGCACTCACGCCAATCAAAAGATTACAAAGACCACTGCCGTGTTATAGGTCGTCGGGTGCAAGTCCGTCATCCCTTTCGCCGTGGCCATCTCCCAAGAGATCCTTGGTTGCCTCCGTAAACACGGCTGTGAGGGCAGGAAGGAACGCGGCAGTTGTAGCTGCAGCTGCTAGTTTTGAGATCGCGCGAGAGTTATCCATGTCCGTAGCGAACTTTCGGCATTGCTATTTGGGAAATGCGTCCTCGGCTAATGTTAAGCGTGATAGCTGGGACACGAGTGCCACTGGGTTGTTGTTGTTCTTAGCTCCAGAATAGGGTTCATCCCACGCACAATTGGAGGTCGTAAACCTTCACGCCTTCAGTTCCAACTTCCCTCTCTTGTCATGTCTTGGGCTAGCTGAGGTTGTGTCGAGCTAGCAGACATCTCACAATCCTTTACTCCAAATATCGCCCTTGTTCGCTAGTGGCGCGATCCTCAGCGGCAGCAATGAACCATATCAGAGGCGTGGCGCAGCTCCTGGTGCGAACGTTGGTTCCAGACCCTCCCCCGGCACAAAGACGAAGCTTCGTCGCGCCTTAGATGTATATGCCATCCAATCCCAACGATCAGCTGGGTCCAGTGTGAGACCCTGGCTCTGGCCATTGTCCAATTTCCTGGGAGCTGACATGCTCCGGGGCCGAGTCCCACTCACGGCCGCCATCGTCCCTTGTCCTGGAGCCGTGGATCACAATGCTGACGACTTGAGACCCAGCCCACTCTGCGATTGGACGACAGAGTTACGAGCGCATTGCCAGTTATGACACCTGTGAATGCATTGGCTATACATAGCATAACGTGCAGATACACTATTGGCTGGTCGTCCCGCTGACTTGCATAACACTTCTGACACTCTCAGCTCTGTGACGTGCTTTGCCCAATCCACGGTTAACTTGGCGAGCGATCTACGTCAGCTCGCTGGGGTATTGTGCTGTGGCCAGCCTCATCAGTGACAGCGCAATCTTGTTTGTTTTTGCAGATGGGAAGCGGTCTGCGCGGCGCTGACGCCAGGCCGGGCTAGACTTGTGGCTATTGGTTCTGGCACGAGTGCTGAATCTGACTGCCAAGAAAGCCCAAACAGCTGGGTTCAAGGCGTGGCTTACTAGCGAAAGACGGCGGACAAATGTGTGGGATACAAGAAGCGGCAGCCAGGCCTCCTGCTGTGTCACACATCAGAACTTGCCCTTGCATCTGCACCACTCGAGTTGCACACATTGCGGAGAAACTGTGCAAGCGAATAGGCCGCATCGAGTTCCGCAGGCATGCTGTTCGCAGGTTCCTTGGGCCATCGAGCCTTGAACTTGGTGTTGATGTTCTGTCATCTGGTATCCAGCCTCCCAACGCTGCATCATGGCCAGCCACGACGGTACGAGCTCGTCTTGACATGGGAGCTCGGCAGCCCTGATGGCTACCAGAGGGAGATGTTCAAGATCAACGGGCAGTTCCCGGGTCCGCTTCTCGAGATCAATCAGGGCGAGGAGGTGGAGATCTTCGTCAGCAACAAGTCGCCTTACAACACAACGGTGCACTACCATGGTGCGTTTCTGTTCCCCAATAGCCCTGTGTGATATTATCTTGGTACACTAACTGTCATTATCTATAGGCATCGAGATGCTCGGCACGCCCTGGGCTGATGGTGTACCCGGTATCACCCAGATCGCCATCCAGCCGGGCTGCGCTTTCACCTACCGCTGGACCGCCACCCAGCATGGCACCTACTTTTACCACTCCCACTCAGACAGCCAGGTCAACGACGGTCTCTACGGCCCCATTGTGATTCACGCGGCGCCCGGCACTGCGAAGCCATATGGTCTGCTCACCAAGGATCCGCGTGCACTGCAGGCCATCTCGAAGGCCGAGGCCGAGCGCGTGCCGCTGCTGATCGGGGACTGGCGGCACCTGACCTCGAGCAAGGAGTGGGCAATCTCGAAGGCCTCGCACATTGAGCACCTCTGCTTCGACTCCATCATCGTGAACGGCAAGGGCAACGTCAACTGTCTGACCCCGGAGCAGCAAGCGCCTCTCACCACGCCCGGGCAGCTTGGTCTGCTCGGCAACTTGACACTTACGAGCAAGTCGTGAGTTCTCGACTCCAGTTTTGCCCACGAACGACGAATGTGTGCTGATGATGCCCCCTTACACAGGTGCGTCCCGCCCGAGGCCCTCGCCGCGCTCAGCGACGCCATCGGCACAGTCGACGCAGACATCAGCGTGATCCCGCCGGACCTCTTTGGGGAGTGCACACCCACCACGACAGCCGGAGAGGTCGTCACCGTGACCAAGAAGAAGTGCGACACCCTGACTGAGGGCAAGTGGGCTGTTTTCGACCTCGTCGGCGCCTTCTCGCTGCACACGGCCATGATCTCGCTCGACGAGGTCCGCATGTACGTCGTCGCCATCGACGGCAACTACATCGCCCCTGTCCCAGCCGACGCGGTCCTACTCGTCAACGGCCAGCGATACACTGTGCTGGCGCACTTCGTCACACCCAAGGCGTACAAGCTGCGCATCTCGAGCGTGATCGACCCCCAGATCATGTACGGCCACGCCACCATCGACTACAAGGTCGAGGGCCAGGAGCAGTCTCCTTCTCCATCCGTCCCCTTCATCAACGAGCGTGGGATGAACCTCACCGCAGACATCATCGTGTTCGACGGCATGCGCAACGCGATCCCTTTCCCCGCGGGCAAGAACGTGCCCAGCGCGTCCGTGGATGCTACGTACAAAGTGACAATGGGCTTCGGCGCCTCGATCAGCGAGTTCATCTTCAACGGCACCGCCCGACCGGAGCCCGACCCGGGCGCCCCGAACCATGTGCCGCTGCTGTTCGACCCGCAGCCGGGCCTGCAGGACAACCACACCATCACGGTCGCATCCTCGAGCAGCTGGGTCGATTACATCATCCAGGTCACGCCCGGCCAGCCACCACACCCGATCCACGTGCACGGGCGGCACTTCTACGTGCTGGGCGCCGGACAGGGCGCGTTCACGTGGGACACGGTGGACGCGGCGGCCAAGGAGCTACCGCCGGGCACGATCAACCTGGTGAACCCGCAGCTCCGGGATACCTTTGTGACGCCCGCTTCGTCACTGACGGCGCCGGCCTGGCTGGCCCTACGGAGGGCGTCGGACAATGAGGGCGTGTGGATGATTCACTGTCATATCCAGAGCCACTTGCAGGGCGGGATGAGCATGATCATCCAGGACGGGACGGACGGCGGGATCGAGGTACCGAAGGAGTACCGGGAGTATCAGTGTCAGGCACATTGATTGAGTGCTTTTGAGTTGTTGTCTCCTAGGGTTGCTGGTACCTGAGCATACTTAATCTAATGAGAAACAAGATACGAAAGCTGGCTAGCAGAGTCATGGAGGACGGCACGAGTTACAGTACAGTGATGCAAATCTCAAGATCCATTTAAATTCAAGCCTTTCATAAGCTACCATGTATCTCAAGGAGCACTGGACATAGGGGTACTTATCCAACACTTCATCCTCGCGGCCTTCCGGTCGTGAGACCTCAACACAAGCCAGGCTACAAAATCAGCAAAAAAAGATGGTCTCAGCTTCTGCTGATTGAGCTTTCAAATGGGCTCGACACCTGCAGGATTCGAACCTATTGGATGCAGTGTTAGGAATCGTGCATGTGGATGGGTTGCTGCAGGGTGGAAGTGGAAGTGGGTGCTTACCTGCGCTCCCGAGGGAAATGCCTTGGCTAGCCATGGATAGCAGGGCATCGCGTTAACCACTCCGCCAAAGTGCCTGTTCCTGGTGTTTTGATCACCTGGTTTTGGTTGATAGCGAGTGGCGAGTTTCGGAACGTTCATATAGCACAGCGGTGCGGGCAGCCCATTCGAGACGAGATCGGGGATTAACGAGCGACACGAGGCATACTTGGCGGCTGCATAAAAGGTCGTGAATGCTTGCAATGCACATTTTCGCTTTGAAACTGGTCCGTCGCACCACACATGTCACGCGATGAGGACTCCAGCAGCCGACAAGGAAGAAGAGCCTCTTCAGAAGAAACAGTGTCTGCAAATGAAACCTGACACTAGACATGCCCAGTAACCACGACTACGCTCACTATGTCTTCTCACCCGTTGTCCAGCGGCTCCAGCCTCGCTCGGCATACGTGTGATCGCCATCAGAAAGGCATCTGTGTGTTGTATTCACTCGCTATGATATGCTTGCGTATGCTTGTCCTCCAGCCCCTGAAACAGCCATTGTCGTCTGATACATGATCATCTTCTGCGATTGCTTGCAGCTTCTCTCCTTCTCATCGGCCTGATGATCGGGACAGTGGTCACCGTCCTTGTTGACCGCAGAACTAACCCGTTCTTGTCCAGTGCATCGGCGCGGACCAGCAGTGGCATAGACTCGGGTTCAATGGCCGTCTCGAACCCCTGACGCTTGGAGCTGGCGATCTCCTTCATGCGCTCCTCGGTGTCACCTCCGTGCTGTCGTAGACACAAGTCAGCAAGAGCCAAACCATCAAAGAGAACATCAGCAAGACAACATACCAGCACCCAGCTCTCAACCTCCGTCGCTCCGTTCCATGAGACATACGCGGTCCCATCCACCACCGCCATCTCCGGATCCCAGTACGGCGTGGCCGTGTAGTTGAGCTTGTACGCCCTGTACACGTTGCTCTCGCCACTGACGCTCGTCGACCACGGCCCGACCTGCACATCCATACACACCTCGCCCTCGGCCGTGTACTCGGTCAGCGCCGGCACGACCCCCCAGGCCACCATCGCACCGCCGCCCGGGAGTACATGCTGCCCGCCCTGCGCCCGCGCCTGCACGCTCTGGGGGTGCCACCACTCGGACAGCACGCGGGCCGTCATGGCCTCGTAGTCGAGCTTGATGCGCAGCACGCGCGTGCACGCGTACTTGCAGCCCGGCGTGGTGTCCTTGTCCTGCCCGAACGAGTGGTTGTCGAAGAAGCTGACCTCGGTCTCGTCGTCGCTGCTGAAGCGCCCGTGGTGCTGGCCCCGGAAGTTGGTCGCGTTGCCGCCGCTCAGGTCCGTGAAGGAGTTCTCGCGCCCGCCGAGCTGCCAGATGCGCTCGCCCGTGGTGCCGTCGAGGAGCATCAGCGCCGACGTGTGACGTGCGTTGACGAGGTAGTTGCGCCCATCGCGCGTCTTGGACACGGCGTTGATGTGGAAGAAGTCGTAGCCGCCCTTGCCGCCCTTGGCCGCGGTCGCGGTGAAACGCACGGGGGACTCGTCCAGCGCGATGTGCTCGCTCGCGCACCACGTGTAGACGGGCTTGCGGGTGGCCATGTCGAGCTCCTGGAAGCATGACTCCCAGATCTCGCAGTCCTTCTCCGGCCCGCCGATCGCGCTGCAGTTGCCCCGGACCTGGTGGTAGTTTGTGAACAGCGCCGTGCCGTTCTTGGTGAGCTTGAACTCATGCGGGTCCGAATGGTTCTCGAGCCCCTCCGGACCTAGCCGCGCGAAGAGGTTGTACTCGCTGTCGAGCATGAGGGTGCTCCCGGAGCCCCAGGCTTCGTGGTCCTGGCCTGACCAGAAGGACAGGTACGACGAGCCGTTGTACTGCTGCAGCCGCGCCCCGGTGCCGCCGCGCCAGTCGGGCATCCCGTAGACCATGCTCAGGTCGTCGGCGCGCAGGATCAGGGGCGACCGCTCCTGTCCGTCCAGGTCGATGCCCGTGATGATGTGCGTGCCTGACGGGTCACACTTGTCACGGTCGTGGACGTTGACGAGGATGCGCGGGGCCCGGACCCGCGACGAGAAGAATTGCTGCGATGGCCTCTGCCCATAGACGCCGCTGTTGTAGGCTTCGGCGTCGCCTGGCGATGTCAGGATTCGCTCGTCGGCGGCTACGAGGTTTGCGAGGAACGAAACAATCGTCAGGACTCGGCTGGAGCAGCCCATTGCGGTGGCGATATCGGCGAGTGCACGTCGATTGTCCTTGTGTATTGTTGGCGCATAGGTCCCGGCGGAGGTAGAAGTTATGGCTGTGGGGAATCGGCGATGGTTGATGCCTCGAGCTCGTAGGAGTGAGATGTGGGAGGGATTTGCATCGTCTATGCTGCTTGGAATGAAGTGGCCATGGGTTCCGCGCGAGTGTACATGTCCATCTTATGAGTGTGCTCACGCTGCGAGCGGTGCTCCGAATTGGCAGCGAAGGGAGGAATGACGGTGCTTTAATTGGCTTGGCAGGGCGGCGAGTAAACATGCCCTCGCCCTTCGCTGGCCGTCATTGCTCCTTACGCTACTCCACTACTCTTGTTGTTGTATCGCTGTGCCTCGTATAAAAGTGCTGGCGTCGACTGGTCAGAGTCCTTACAGCTGATGATGCCTGCTGCCCGGCGTGGACGCCAAAGGTTCTTGGAAATGATGTATTGTCACTCTCTTGTGGTGGAAAATGAAGATGGGGGGATCTAAGCGGGTTGTCACGTCAAAAGACTGCATTCCACCCTAGTAGGGCCCAACTCAGGAACAATCCGAGCAAGGGGCAAAGGGATGTCCTCAGCCGTGGGCAAGGCTAGTAGAGCATGTCTCACTACCCGAGCTGGTCTCGCTTGACCCCTACCGTCACTTGCATTGTTGAATGGGCTGCATCGATCAAGCGACGTCCCTTAACATTTGTTTCCGAGTCAGGAAAGCCCGCAGACCAACCGTGAGCTCCGGCTGGAATCCTCCGCGACCTTGCACATGGTCTCACTCCCCGCACAGGGACGTGATTCTCCATTACATGGCCGAAAAGTCAGGCCAGGGCAACAATGGGCGGACATTTTAGTCAACTGGGTGAAATTAGGAACAGAAGAAAGGCGACGTTTCAGAACGCGCCTGGACGGCCACCGATAGACAGCTGCTGAACCCGGTGGACGCGGCACGCACGTGATGCGCAGCAGGCTGGCTGGAAGAGGTTGTGGGTTCGTAATAATATTATGGTATTAAGTCAGTCCAAGACTTGCTCGCTGTTTTGGTTCATGGACCCTAGCATTCAACTTTCAATAGCTGGGGTCTTCCCCCAGTACACGTAATACTGCACAGTCCTTGGTATACCCTCGGCCTCTCATCGAGAGCACCCTCTACATGGCATCCTTGGCCCAGGCTACCTGCATCCCTGGCTCGAGACGCGCGACATCGATGGTAATGACCTTGCCCGGCTCAATGACCGTGCCGTTGACCGGCGCTACCATGCCGCCGTTGGTCGTGGCGTACAGAATGTGGCTGTCGTGCTTGGTCACGCCAAAGGCCAGCGCAGTCGGGCCCGCGACGGTCAGCTCGCTGGGCCTGCCAAGGGCCACAGCCGTGGACCCGTCGGCGCGGACGAGCAGGATCTCGTTGTCGAACATGGCGGCGACGTAGATGCTGCCGTCGCGCGGGTCGATGCCGAAGTCGTCGATGATCTTGATGTCTGGGAAGCTGGCGACCGTTTCGACCTTGGCGCCCTCGCGGGCCGCCCCGGTCTTCTTGTCGATGGCCACGCGGTGGATCTTGCGGGTGTTGGAGTTGGACCAGTACAGGTAGCCGTCGCGGATCTTGATGCCGTTGGCGCCGAGCTGCAGCGCGGCGTTGGGGTCCGAGGCTTTCATCTCGGGCACCTCGACGGCGGTGGCGGAGGCGCCGGTGAAAGGGTTGATCTTGTACACGAGACCGAGGACCGAATCGGCGACGAGGATGCTGCCATGGCAGTCGCCGAGCGCGATAGCACCGTTCAGGAGACCGGCCTCGGGGTAGCGGCCGACGAACCCGCTCTCGGCGACGCCGCTGCCATCGGGCTTGAGCTTGACGTACTGCAGCGTCTCGGACTCGGCGACGGGCGTGATGCCGTCCCACTTGCTCGTCGCAACGACAAAGTGGTCCGGGGCGACCTGCACGATGCCCAGGGCGCCGTCTGCGTCGGCGAACTTGTGCAGCAGCGTCAGCTCGGCCTGGCCGGTGGCGGCGAAGGGCTGCTTGACTATGTAGAGCGCCGGCGAGTTGATGTTCTGGGTGACGAGCATGTCGCCGTTGCGGCGGAAGGCGAGGTTCTCGAGGAACGTGTTGTTGGCCGCGAGCTGCGCGACGACCCGGTACGCCGGGGCCTGCGACGGCGGCTGGGCCGCAGGGGCCGCGATAGCGACGGCGGACAGCGCGAGGGGCGAGAGCCAGCTGAGGATCTGCATTGTCAACGAGTGTAAGGAGCCAGAGTCGTGAGGCTGTCACGTCAACTGGCTGTCCGGGTGTGGCGGATGTGAGAGTAGGCCTCTCCCTGTGTTTTGTACGACTACCGTCCCCTTCCCCCTTCCAGAAAAGTTCTCTGGGAGTGCCACTCTGCTGTTGGCCACCCGCTGGCGCCAAAACAAGATTGTCGAGGCCAGCGCCACGGAAGCGACCCCGGCGGTCCGCCGTGGTGCCGTTTCAATCGGCCGGGGCCGTATGACCGATCGAAGGCAGAGCGGGCCTCTTCTCATCTAGGCACCAAGTGTCCGTCTACAGGGGCTATGCCTGGCACTGGCAGGGACAACCCAAGTCACTGACGCTTAGATCGGCCCTTGTCTTCCCGGGGGAGCGGGCGATGGGCCCAGAGCCAGGTCCAGCTTGCTCGATTATGCAGACAAGAACTCAAAAGTTGGAGAACGCGGACAGCTGGGGTTGCCCTTGTTTTGCCGATTCGCAATTTGTCATACGAAGCATGGGACACAGTACACGCAGCAGTTCCCGTGCCGGGGTAATAACCGCAAGGCTCTCCCTGTAGAATCCACTGGTCCACTGCGCTGGCTGTTTTGAGATCGATCTTGCCGAC